ATAATGATAATGATTATGCTACAACCGGATCTGTTGTGGGATATCAACTCACTGAAGACAATGGTGTACAGTGGAGCAACTTCGTGGATTGGTTGAAGTTAGACATTAACACCATTGGATGCCGGCCAGATCAGTGGTCTAGTTGGTTAAGCGCCTGACGCGAGACTGATAGGTCATGGGTTCGAATCTCGCGGGTTGCGGTATCATGGATGCGCATTGTTGAGGAGTCCCATACTAGGACGAGACGGCCGTCCAGTGCCTCCAGGTTTTCTATGGTGGTCTAGCTTCAATTGAATCATGATTTCAATCAGTGAAATTTCTAAAATGCACAGTTTATCACTGTTGAGTTGTGATTATATTTCATTTCATAATGCATAATACTGATCTTAAATTTTCATTGATTAGTACAAAGCTGAATTTTAGTTTAATGAAATTCATAGAGGAAAAAGCTTGTTCACCGATCTAAATTGACTATGAAATATAAAAATTTCAAGCCCACAGATTTCTAGATAATGGAGCGTATCATATCAATAACAAGATAGCTTACTCACTTTCTCCATTACGCGTCATTTTGTTTTGTTTCGCATTTCCGATCAACGATTATATGAAATATACGTATTCATAAATCCATCTTCTTATTTCACTTATTCGAATCCGTCAAAGCGAGTTAGGTCGATAATTATGTGCAAGGATTGGCTATATGTATATTTAAATCACAAGCAGCAATCAATATACGATCAAACTGTAGTCAGATTTAGGGCCATTAAACTACATTATGTTGTAACCGATTAGTAAGTAATAAGGTTATTACCGAAGAACATAATAGTTTGGAAAGCGAATTTCAAAATATTAAACCATTGAATTCGTATATAATTCATCATTTAAGCTGAGATCATGAATCGATTGATGTTAGGTCATCATTGAAGAACTGAAAGCACTGGATAGCCGTTTCGTCCTGTTGTGGGACTCTTCGGCAGTGAGCACTCACGATCCCGCTCGCGGGATTTGAACCCACGGCCTTCATTTTCGTGCGCGGACGCTTAACCTTCTAGACCAACAGCCCGATATCTGACTTCAAGTGGATCGTATGACTGATTATTATTGAAATATACATGACGTCAATCTTCATAGAAAATTATACACTTAAGTCATGTTGGTGAATAACGGAATTAAATAATTCAAATACGAGAATGGATTCTTGAATATGTATATTTTCTACAATCATTGATTTGAACAGACGATCAGAAGGACAAAACAAAGAGAAGAGAGTGAAGCAAAATAACGCGTAATGGAGAATACGATTAAATCAAATCACTTTAATAAAGCGTGACTCAATATTTATAGTCAAACAAAAATAAATTACAGATATGTGATGAATCAAGGGCCGCATTCCTACAATTGAACAACATATGCAACTTAAAACAACTTCCAACTAATATCAAAGTCACAATCTTCAATACGAACGTCAAGACAGTCAGTTCTACTGTACGGAGCTGAAACTTGGAGAACTACAACAACCACCATCAAGAAGGTAAACGTATTTATAAACAATTTTCTTCGCAAGATACTGAACATCAATTGGCCGGATACCATCAGTAACAGCCTACTGTGGGAGAGAACAAACCAGCTTTCAGCTGAAGAGGAAATTATGAAAAGACGATGGAAATGGATAGGACATACATTACGCAAATCACCGAACTACATCACGAAGCAAGAGCTAACTTAGAATCGTGAAGGGAAACGGAAAAGAAGAAGGTCAAATAATGTGCTACACCGATAATTGGAAGCAGACATGAAAAGAATGAATAACATCTGGAAAGAGCTGGACAGGATTGCCCATGACAGGGTTGAATAGAAAGTGCTGGTAGGTGGCCTATGCTCCTCCGTAAGGAGTGCCAGGCGTAAGTAAGTAAGTGAGTGTGTGATGGATAGGATAAGCAATGCACACACATATACACTTACATAAAACCAGTCAAAGTTGATAAGCGAATAATTAAGAAAGTGAAAATGTGAATCAAGAAGAATGAATAAATTTACCCCTCCGGAACTCAAATAACCTATGTGTGTTTAGCATAGCAACTAACACTATCATTTAATAATAATAATTAAATCACAGGCATATTTTCATTACACTGACTAAAACATGCTAAATTAAGCTTTGAAAACATACAAAAACAATGCATTCTGCATGCATCCATACACAAAAATGTAATGGCAATTTCATAATAAATGAAAACATCTCACACTCTCACTCTCTCTCTCTCTTGCTCTCACTTTTTTTCTCTTTTTTAAAGCGGCTTTATTAACTTTAACCTTATTAAGCATACTTATTAAGCATAGAATAAGTAATATATAACACTACCTCACAATGTTCACCCAAATATTGTGGATCACATCTAAATTAAAATGTCAATATAAGTGAAATAAATGATTATTTTGAAGAAAAGAGAAAAAAGAAAAAAAAGAGAAAAAAGGAATTTTATTTTCCTAAAATTAAAAAAAATAAAAGTGATTAAGCTTGTTGATTGTGGGGTTGGGGTTGTTTGTTTGTTTGTTTTCGCTTGGTGATTTGTGTAAACAATTAAATATACACTGAAGTGTTGTTTTTTTGGAGAAATGAAATAAAATACTACTTATAAACTGAAAATAATTGTATTATTAACAATGATGAATAGTGATTAGTAGGGGAATCTAGTTTGATGTGTTTCGTCCTATTTTGAGGCTCATCAGATGGATGTACCTGTATTTCAGAGTTTAAATTCACTTTGGAACTCGAATCCAGTACCGTTTGCTTTAAATATCATTGCGTTCAATATTTAGCTACTGAGTTTTGATAGGCACCTGTTTGTGCAATGAGGTGAAGTTTAAATTCACTTAGTATTATTAATTTGAATCTTCCTATTGATGTTTAGGAAGCAAGCCGTACTGAGTTTGAGTCCCGGAGCCAAAAGAAATCTAGGATGCGGATACATCCAGCTGACGAGTCCTATATAGGACGAAATGCGCATCCTGGATTACACTGCTAGCCGACATCCATCTTTGCTTATGATATACAGTATTGTTGCTGAATACTTTCTGGAGTAGAATTATCCTAACATGTACATAATTTGAAAATCTATTTGGAAGCCATAAAAATCGGAAATTTATATTTTTTTATCATGATTTTCAGCTATAAGCTTCTTGTATACAGATTATAGTGTTTTCAAATAGCTAACACACAGGTTATCATATCTTTATATGTATGTCATTCTAGAACTATCATACATCAAGTATACACTATTGTAAGCCTTGAATAATTTAAGAATAATATGTATATACTATTCTCATAAAATCATTATCATTTGCTTGTTGAACGTCTTTAAACAGAGATATTTTGTAATTGCTCCTATGACCATTTAATTAACTCTTCAACGAAACTTTTGTTGTTTATCGACTTTTTACTTTTACACAGCTTTCAGAAGTGTGTTATCAGTCTTATGAACATTATGAATTTGTATCCAGCTATTGCCCAATCACTATTCAGAATATTGATTACGTAATTCATAGAATTTTCATATTCGAACATATAGGATGTGGCTAGTGGTGGAGTCTAGGATCCAGGTTTCATCCTATTCGGGACTCATCACCCAAGTATTCCTTTATTCAAGAATTGCTATCTACTGTGTGATTCAAATAATATCGCACTATCTACTTAATTAATGAAGCGACGAATATAAGGTATATATATGTAAAATAAGAATGATCCAAATTCAGTCTAATTATCAACAACTGAATGATCCAGACCGCTAGAAAAATGATTAACTCCTCCTGGAGTCCCTCTGGAGTTACTTCCAGTCTCAAGCCCGAATAAAGAAAGAGAGTTAGGCATACAATTAGTGACTCCATCTCGTAGAAAACTAACTCGCAGGAAAAAATCACTTTAAACCATTTAAAATTCTTCCCTAAGAGTTAAAAGTTCTTCATTTAAAAGAGTTATGATGTCTCATAATGAAAGCCGAATTCCTTCAGAAATCACAAGGCTTATACCCTTTCTAACAACTAAAGCAACCACTAATTTAGGTACATGGAATTAGAAAATAAAAATGATTGTTTAATGTTCTTTTTTAAAATCATGAGTTAGTTGAAACTAACCCACCATGGAAAACCTGGAAGCACTGGATGGCCGTCTCGTTCTAGTATGTGACTACTCAGCAGTGCGCATCCATGATACCGCAACCCGCGAGATTCGAACCCATGACCTATCAGTCTCGCGTCAGGCGCTTAACCAACTAGACCACTGATCTGGCCGGCATCCAATGGTGTTAATGTCTAACTTCAACCAATCCACGAAGTTGCTCCACTGTACACCATTGTCTTCAGTGAGTTGATATCTCACAACAGACCTCGTTGAACTCCATTGATAACGGCTCCTCACTAGAACTCAGGAGTATTTCTTGAAGTCAGTCACTACTGAGAAGATTATTATTATCAGAAGGGGTCTTGTGGAAGTTTTAGAAATTTCACTGATTAAAATCATGAGTCAAGTGAAGCTAGACCACCATGGAATACCTAGAAGCACTGCATGGCCGTTTCATTCTAGTGTGGGACTCCTCAACAGTGAGCATCCGTGATTCCGCACCCTGCGAGATTCGAACCCAGTTGGTTAGGCGCCTACTGATAGGTCCTGGGCTCGAATCTCGTGGGGTGCGGGATCACGGATGCGCACTGTTGAGGAATCCCATACCAGGACGAAACGACCGTCCAGTGCTTCCAGATTTTCATAGTTGTCTAGCTTCAATTGACTCATGATTTCAATCAGTGAAATGATATAGAATCATTAATATGTGCAAAAATCGATCATATTTAATCAATCATTCTTTTTTTTATTCAACTTAAGTTAGATTAATAACCTTTTCTTCTATTTCTATTGACTTATAATTAACAATCTAGAATTAACATTCCCATAAACTTTTAAATATTGTTTCAGAAACATGAGTTTTTTTTCATTTTCAACTATTTACCTGCAATATGGTTTCCCATCTATGATGTAACAATGTCCTCGATGACAATAATTATGACAAGGATGTACTAAAAAGAAGAGAATGGAAAAAAAAAACATTAACTACATAAGTTACATGAAGATTTTTTTATATTGATGACAAAATATAAAATAGATAGGGGGGAAGGGGGGGGCTATGGAAAAACAACGAATATATATATATATATGTTTTACATAAATGTAAGTACATTAGAGTTCGTTTTATTTTATTAAAACATATGAGAAATTATTCAACCATAAAATGATATGTTTTACTGTTAATTTATGGGAAATCATTCATTCTATAATTGACGCCATTTATATACAACTTAGAAACTATTTTATTTAAAGCATGAATATGTGAATAGTTTAGCGCCATTTCAATTTATGTGAAATTTTAAAAAAGAAAACCGAGATGAAAATTTGATAAACATCATTTGAGTTTATATAAAATAATGTAGTTCATCATTTATATATATGTATCTTGAGAGGCGGGATCATGGATGCGCACTACTGAGGAGTCCTACAGTAGGACGAAACGACCGTCTAGTATTTTGAGGTTTTTCACGGTGGTTTAGATTCGATTGACTCATGATCTCAACCATTGAAAATGTATATTGTAGTGTCGGTTATTATCTTAAGCCCATATACCTTATTTTAGCTTTCAGACAGCCCATTCTATTCATTCTAGTTGAGTCACATTCTGACCTTGTTAATTATTCGCTTATCAATCTTCACTGTTTTTATATGAGCGCATAGGTGTATGTACACTTCTTATCCCACTACTCATCACATGTCTGTAACTTATTTTTGTGTAACTATAAATATTGATTAACGCTTGGTTAAATGGGAGTTGGCTTATCAGCCATCTCCACTGTGCGTCGTTTCTCTTCTCCCTACTTCATTCGCTATATATACAAAATATAGGTATTCACAAGTCCATTCTCGTTATTTGACTTATCTAAATCCGTTATTGACTAACGCGATTTAAGTCGATGATTATATACGAGGTTAGACGACATATATATTTCAACAACAATCATCATTACGGTTTCCTTGGAGTCAGATTTCCGGCCACAAAATTGGAGAGCCCATTCGACAACATCGTCCGATATAAATGACGACAAAATTAACGGGCATCGACAATATATTTCGTCCACTAATGGATTGAAGTCGATCTACGTAGATGAATGAACTGTGACTAAGTGATTGACTGATCAATGAATGATTTTGATAAGTTAAAAGATTATGATTCAACTTCATGTTATTGAATATATATATATATATATATATATATATATATATATATATATATATATATATATATATATACTATCAAAATGTCTTAAATGAAAGTAGATCTGATTTATAATATCCCATGACTTTCACTAGTCTTCCATATACATTTGAAGCAGTCACTAATGGATTGCTTAGAATGGAATTTAATTATGGAATTTAATTGTTCTCAGATTTCATATAAAGTTTGCAAGTACATCAGTCAAAGTCATATAAATGATGAAATTATTTATTTTATGTAAGGAATCTCCATTAATACACTTTGACAATATTAAATCTCAAGTATGTTGGCTTTACATGTAACATACTTCATACTGGAAAATCGTTTGTTAGAATTAATCGAATTTAAACATTAATCCTAACGATGGCCAGAAGATAGATCAGTCTACTGATAAATTAGTTACATAGAATGAATGAAGCAATCAAAATTAACATAAGCGACTTAACTGAGTTATGATCAACAGAATACTGTTGGTAGTATAAAATAAATAACATAGAATTAGTTACAACTCATTGGCCAATTAGTGTAATGCATTTCAATCCTACATTAGTTCAATACATGAATAGCTGAGTGATAATATTTTTTCAATGTGATTAATCCATGTATGACATGGGTGAAGAGTTGAAGAAAGTGTCACTTCATTCAAGTTTACAGATGCACCCAGCTAACAAGTACTAGTCAACAATGTTTCATTACTTGACATCAGTAAGTTAGCTACAACGTAGGATCAGACACAAATGTACATCAGTCCAAGTTGCCATACCGCATTAGCACAACAAGATAAATACTCGATTCATATAAATAGTCAATTCAATCGTGGAAATGTGTAGAAGAAAGGTTGCATATAAGGATATAGTACAGGAAGAAAGAATTAGTTTGTAGAAAGAAAGATATGAAATGATACTAATCTCACACTTTAAGGGAAAACAAAGAGCATATACACCTACGCCATTGTGATCGATTCTGAGCCATGCCACTCAGAGTGTTTAACCATTAGTTACGATAGTCACGCGGACCCCAACCAAGTAATCTGCATCTACCAACATGGCTCACACCAGAAGTTAGTAACTTCAAGCACTGATGCCACGTTTTGGTTTAACCGCTCCCAACTTTCTTCCAACCATCTCCAACACCAGTCAGTAAACGGTGTTCAGACACTTGCACCACATCACCCAACCATCTCAGTCGATAAAGATTCAAAACCTCATCAACTGATTTACCATCATTCCCTAATACCCTGTATCTAACATCACTATTACTTACCCGGTGATCCAAGCAGATGCGAGCAATATTTCTAAGGCATCTGTGGTCAGATACTAGTAGCTTTCGAGTATCTTCTGCCCCTTAATGACTACGTTTCACAGCCGTAAATTCGAACAGAACGAACTTCCGCGAGGTATACTCGTCCCCTAATTGATAGACGGATATCTCGCCTTCTCCATTGGTGACGTAAGTTGGCAAAAGTCAAACGAACTTTTCGAATCCGTGCTGAGATTTCATTAGACACCAATCCATTAGGGCTGATCAGACTTCCAGTAGCACTAAGACCACTGTATTCATAATCAACCTCCCTCTTCAACTCCTATTACATGACATCCCACAATATATAACCCACAATGTTTAAAAACTGATTGTTTGATAACATGAATAATTAGCGAAAAATCGGTAAACAATAATGTATTTGAATTATTTAGAAAAAAGATGATCAACTGAAAAATCAAGATGTTATGTCACATTGATTGATTGAATATCTTCTCAAAATCACAGAAATATACTAACCGTTACTAAGAATAGTGCAAAGCTAAACGTTATTTGACATCATATACTGACTGATATCACTACGAAATAAACATTAAAAAAAACAGGTTCAGTCTCCCATCTACCCCCCCTACAAAAAAACAAAACATATCAACATTTCATTACCCCCCCACACAAATCAATAAATTTAAATAAGATTCATTTGGAACATATGAAATCAAATATAATGTTTTGGCAAAATACCAAAGATGTCATAAATATTAACAGTTCGAATTAGGGTAGAATCTATGAACTGAAGAAGTGCTACTAAACATATACCTACCAGAATTGAAGATAAAGTCTATAGATTGATGATTATTAGATACAATTGGTTTCTTTCACCGACTTCATTAATGTTAAAACTATATTGTCAGAATAATATGAAAACAATTGATTTTATCAATTGGAAGATATCAACATATGTATGGGATTCACATCATTGGATGATTATCTTGGATTATAATCATGGTTAAATAAAGTATAAGCATTGATTTCATAATTTCAATCCTGCCCTGGTTGGGGAGAGTCAGCTCTCTCTCACGAAATGCTCTCATATGGCCACGTGCATACAACCACTGGCAGGGAAGTCCTACTCACTACCTTCTCGCGGCATTACTGTTGTTTACCAAACTGAGAGGACGAATAGTGAATGTCCGGCGGTTTATTCAGGTTGGTGGACACAAAGAGTCCATCTAGGGAAGTTGAAAAACCCTGATTCCAAACCACTGGTGCACTTGGGCTCCAGTATCCTGAATGAACAAATGGCGTATGAACCAATTATTGGTCACCAGCTACCATGGGACTGTTTCCTAACGTTGTACCACTTCCTTGTGGATCAGACCTTTAGGTCGAAGGCTTCGGGTATGGCCCTCTATGTAAACCACCTGTTTCGATTTGGTCACCTGGTCAGTATCCCAGCCCTCACACAAATCGAATGATTTATATTGCACATATCTATTTAATGCCTCCTTGTACCTATATTGGTGTGTTTAAATAGATGAATAAATAAGTGGAAAATTAATCATTGACTCTTGGTAAATATAAAATTAGATTTCCAAGATGATATATCCAACCGCTAGAACCTTCATAAATCTCCATTCAGAGATTTAGCACTTTGTTTCAAAGTATGTTAATGAATTGGATAAATTACACCTATTAATCTGCATGTCGTTCTTAACAAACAACTTAGTTATTATCGATTCTATTTTGGGTCAGAAAAAATAGACAGTAAAGTATTTGACAAGTTTTTGAAAAAGAAAGATAGGATTTATGTTTTATAAATTCAAGAACACTTCGTAAATTAAGTGTAGTGTATTTTTTAATGTCAATATTGTTATCAATTCTAAACCAAGATGTACATAAGATGGTTCATAGTCAAAATTGATTGATCACTGTGTGGTGATCAACGTCATATGTGTCAGATCCTTCTTAATGCAGAATACGTCAAAGAGCACCAGTTCACTCAAGATTACAGGTATACCTTGCTAACAAGTGTCAAATAGCACGAAACCCGGGTTCAGGGTTCCCTTACGACTACCTTCAACCATCATGTTATGGTTTATAGTCATTTAGACGAAGCGGCTGTTCAATGCTTTCAGGTTTCCAGTGGTGGTCTAACATCAATTGGTACATGATCTCAATCAAAAACATTTAGAAATCGTTGAATTTTATGGTTTTGCATTACGGATTAATTTAAGTTAAACAACCACTGAAGATCATTAAGTACTTCACAGTTGTTTCATCTTAGAATGATTGAACTCTATTGATTACTAATTCTTACTAGAATTTGGAAATGTATCTCCTAAAGACAACAGATGACAGTCGCATGATATCGTTAATTGACTGACGTTGGAAGTATAAAACTGTCTGTGAAAACTTAAGCTCCTCTACTCAGTACCTTAACTCAGATACGTGTCTTGTTAATTTTAAAATTTCACACAGTTTAATGGTAACAAA